GAGCGTAAGACCTCCCTCCCCTCCCTCCCCGCCAGCCAGGCCCACTCCCTCAGGGCGCCCACTCTCTCCTCCAAAAGCCTCCTCCCTCCCCATGCAGGGGACACATGCGCGTGACAACCCTTCAGGTTGTTTCTTTTGTTGTTTTGCTCACACGTGGTCATTGTTTTAAAAATCCAGCAATGATAGTTAACAAAAAAGGAAATAAAACACACCCAGCATGACACTTCTCAGGAAACCAGATTCGCAGAGGGGCCTGGATGGGGGATGGAGGTGAAAGCGAGGAGTCCGGGGTGACTCCACGATTTTGGGCTGTTCGATCGACAGGGCACATACCTGGGTGCGGGTTCAATCCCTGGTCGGCGTGCGAACGGAAGGCAGCCGATGAACGTTTCTCACGTCGATGTTTCTCTTTCCTTCTTCTCCCTGAAAACCAATAAAAACATATCCTCAGGTGAGGATTTTTTTAAAATCTGAAAGAAAACAGCAAAATGTACCATGTCTGCTCAATCCAGGGGTAAGTCCTTCAACTTCGTTCTGGTATCTTCTGTACTTCCATGTATGCTTGGATTTTTGGAAAAGTCGAATGTTTCTAGTTTATCAACCAACGAGCAGGTTCAGGACAGGCGGAGCGGGACCGTGCGCAGGGGGGACGGTCCCTGTTACAGGGTCCGCCCCACCAGAACTGCCGGAACCACCAGCGCCTCGCAACGAGGAGGGACGAGGGAGCGCGAGCGAACAGAGATGTCCTTCTCATCCTGTTGTCCACGTTTAATAACTTACTTCTTCTCGCGACTTAGATCTATCTGCTAAGAGGAAATGGAAGAGGCACACCATTTCCGGTCGGTCATGACTGCTAACCTGCTGGAGTCGGGCCTTTGACAGTTGCCTGTGGCTGTGCGCTGTGAAGACCCCTCTGCTGACACCTCAAGGGCAATGAAACTGTACTGACGGGGAGAGTGTTGTGAAACCCGAGACATCAAGCAGCCGGGAGGGGGTTGCTGTAAACTCACCGGATTATGGGTTCCTCGGCCGTAACCGAGCCCCCAGCCCGCCTGCTCCGGAGGCCGGAGCCCAACGGTGAGGCGGATGGTAAGGTCAGC